GGTAAGTAGCAAGAAGGAACTTGGCCAGATACTCTTTGAGTATCAAGTACATAATATAAAGATTATATATATATAATGGGTATGTGTGTATAGTTAATATTTCGGGTTTCTTCCCGTGTAATTGTGGATATATCCCTAAAAGGGTAGAAGCGACGTTTCGGCAGAATCCCATCTGCCATCATCAGGCTTATGCCAGTAGTCATTTTGCACTAACTGACGTTGGAATTTCAAATCTGGTGCTGGTATTCTGGGATGGCTCCACCTTTTCATTCTGATTGGTTGGGAGTCCCAGTATGTGTTTATTGGCTTGGCTTCCCAAAATCCCAACCAAATCATATTCAAACCAGCCACAAAGATAAAGCCCTGCCACCTAGTGGAGAAAAACCGACCATACACCCGAAGCCAAGCCAAAATGACTACTGGCATAAGCCTGATGATGGCAGATGGGATTCTGCCGAAACGTCGCTTCTACCCTTTTAGGGATATATCCACAATTACACAGGAAGAAACCCGAAATATTAACTATACACACATAGATACCCGTGAAAACTTACATAAACAAATATCAAACCTCTACGGGGAGGAGATGTATAAACTTACCAAAACTTATGAGAAGTTAGAGATAAAAAGATCTCGAATACTGTGTGATTTAACATTTTTATGTCAATGTCGTGACCAAAATATAATACCATCTTGCTTTAAATTGAAGTTCCATACCCACACAACATCTATCCAACGTATTCTTAAAAGAACTGAAATGGCATTACTTAGAAATGAAATCCATAGCAAAAGATTCCTATTAGATCAAGTAAACAAGGATCTATTAGCTTCATACTTAAAGATAAGCAATATTATTCACCCCATATTATGGGACAAAATAAAACAGCTTGCCACCTGGAGATCTGAAATAGAAACCACTCATAAAACTTACAGACATTCAAAGAAACTTAAGAAATTAGAACATAAAAAACCTCCAACCACAACACAACATCACTTAAAACAAGTAGTATACAATGCTTCCGATAGAAAATTAACAACAGCAGAAACAAATGTCTTAGCAAAGGGCTTTAATTTTGCAGTGGCACCCAATAAAATTCCAATAGAAACCATCATATGCGAAGTTGAAACCAGCCTAAAGAAACTCAGTGCTGACGATGCTGATAAAGTCAGACATGACGTCACCAACATTCTATGTACTAGTAAACCACCTAAAAGCAACTTATCAAAAGAAGAACAAAAAGCACTGCAAGTTTTAAAAAATGATAATAGCATAATGATATTACCAGCAGATAAAGGCAATGCAACAGTAGTAATGAACACAGTGGACTATGAAAAGAAACTGTCTGACTTACTTCAAGACGCCACATATAAACCCATAAACACAGACCCAACAACATATCTAGAAAAAACCACGAAGATAAAGATAAAATCAAGTACTATAAGTAAAGAAATCCAACAAAAAATTATCCCCAGAGAAAAATCATCAAAATGCCCAAAACTGTATGGCCTCCCAAAAATACACAAAGATGGAATACCTCTCAGACCCATAGTAAGTTCCATAGGCTCACCTTTACAAAATCTAGCCAGATATTTAGCAAAACATCTTCAACCTTACGCAGAATCTGCTGCTTCATATGTACAGAACTCATACCATTTCATACAAATAATAAAAAAGCAACACATAAAAGAAAGTGACCTTCTTGTAAGCTTTGATGTTGTATCACTATTCACACAAATACCTGTCAAAGAAGCCTTGTCATCAATTAAAAACAAATATCAACTACCAAAACATATCACAAACTTAACAGAACATTGTTTATCCAACACATATTTCATACACAGAGGACAGAGATATAAACAAGTAGAAGGTGCACCAATGGGATCACCATTATCACCAGTCATCGCTAATCTTTTCATGGAAGAATTCAAATCCAATGCCTTAGAAAAAACTGTTAACAAACCAAAATTATGGCTCAGATACGTTGATGACACCTTTGTGATCTGGCCACATGGAAGAGATAAATTGGAAAACTTCTTAGTACATTTGAACAGCCTCCATCCCAAAATAAAGTTCACCATGGAGATAGAATCAGAAAACCAGTTACCTTTCCTCGATGTATTAATTTATAAAAAATCTGATGGCACCTTAGGACATACCATCTATCAAAAGAAGACACATACGAACCGCTATCTCAACGCCAAATCACACCACCATCCAGCACAAATAAACTCTGTTGCCAAAACATTAACCACAAGAACTAAACGTCTGGCTGATGAAGCACATTTACAAACTGAATTATATACACTAACTAATGTACTGACATCAAATGGGTTCTGTAGAAATAAAGTCATCAATATGATCAAACATACAACACCAAGACAGAATAAAAAACAACAAGAGGAACAAAACAATGGGAAAGCCATCTTGCCCTATATAAGGGGAACAACAGATAAAATTAGCAAAGTACTACAAAAACACAACATCAAAACCATATTTTGCACAAATAGAAAGATATCGTCCATTCTGAGAAACCCCAAAGACAAAATAGAATTAGAAGATCAAGGCATATATGAAATCCCATGTGCTTCCTGCCCATCAACATACATTGGACAGACCAACAGAAGAATGAGTGTGCGCATCGAGGAACACAAAAACTCAATACAAAAGCAAGAACACACATCATCATTAGTTCAACATATAAATACACAACACACAACATTAATTTTAATAAAACAAAAACAGTTGCAAAAATAGAACATCTCAATGGCAGGATAATCAGAGAAGCAATAGAAATGGAAAAAAGACCATATTGCATGAATAAACGGGATGACACTTCACGTCTGCCTACTATTTGGAAACCTGCTCTCATAGATAGACGAATCTTGACACCATATGTGGAACATGGACCAAACATTGCACAAAAAAATCCCAACCAAATCATATTCAAACCAGCCACAAAGATAAAGCCCTGCCACCTAGTGGAGAAAAACCGACCATACACCCGAAGCCAAGCCAATAAACACATACTGGGACTCCCAACCAATCAGAATGAAAAGGTGGAGCCATCCCAGAATACCAGCACCAGATTTGAAATTCCAACGTCAGTTAGTGCAAAATGACTACTGGCATAAGCCTGATGATGGCAGATGGGATTCTGCCGAAACGTCGCTTCTACCCTTTTAGGGATATATCCACAATTACACGGGAAGAAACCCGAAATATTAACTATACACACATACATACCCGTGACAACTTACATAAACATATATATATATATAGATAGATAGATAGATAGATAGATAGATAGATAGATAGATAGATAGATAGATAATAGATATATATATATATCTTTATATTAAAAATATAAAGATATTTTTTAAAATTGATACAGAACACATATATTGAGTAGACTCTTTAACATCAGCATTTTAAAAAAAATTTGACCCATAGAGCATAAATAATTCTGTCTGCTGAACTTAAAAACTTATGTTTGATTTGTCTTGTGTTTTACAGGGAAAAAAGATAATTACAATACCCAAACATTGTAATTATTTATTTATTTTTCACACTGGAGACAGTAAATTGTAGAGCCAGGCTTCCTTTAGGTAGTTTGACCATAACAATAAATAATATTAGGGTTTAAATTTAAGATCAACATTTTGAACTATGTTGAGAGCTAATGCAATTCAGCAGAGATCTTCCTGCCTTTTTTATTTGTTGTATTGTGGGCCTTTGTGCCAAAGTTGTATATAAAAAGTTATAATAAAAAGTTTACCAATCTAAAAAATTCCATTTGTTAACTGCTAGGTTATGTCTCTTCTCTACTACGCAACACATAAGATAGTTTAATTGCTCTATAAACTTTTAAAGATGTGGAATAAAGAAAAATCTGCAATAAAATTAAATGAGATTTTAAAAGAACAATCCTAAACACTTCTGTCAGTTGATTACTTCATTTTTGTCTTTGTTGGACTGGAAAATAGGGTCAGTATCATAAAACTGCCTTGGCTAACAAATAGTGGAGGTAGCATTTTGTTAAGTTTATAAACTTTATACACACTCACACAGACATGCATGCAGCACACAAAGATCTACAGCTATCTGATCAATGCAAAGAACAATAAATTAACCAATGCATGATTCATTTCTATATTATTTTAAATCGGGCTAGAATGAAACTATAAATACAACAATAATTTTCCCTATTTCTCCTTTTTGACAAATGTTAAGAATAATGTAAAGAATACAGTTCAGTGCCCATAGAGTATTGTTATTTTTTTAGCTAATAAACTGTTATTTTTAACTAATAAAGTGCTAAATTTATTACTATGGTATTTCATATAATCTCATGATTTATCAGAAAATTCAACTGGAATATAAAAGATATAAAATAGTTCTTAAAGACACACTTTTAAATAAGGTTACAGTACATTTGTGGGAACTTATTAAAACTGAACAATAGCATTAGCTTTCAGCTTTGGAAGTCATAGCACTGCTTCCTAGCACTGCCACTAGCACTAGTAATAGCACTTAGACTTATATACCGCTTTACAGTGCTTTACAGCCCTCTCTAAGTGGTTTACAGAGTCAGCATATTGCCCCCCAACAATTTTGGGTCCTCATTTTACCCACCTCAGAAGAATGGAAGGCTGAATCAACCTTGAGCCTGGTGAAATTTGAATTGCCAAATTGCAGGCAGCCTGCAGTCAGCAGAAATAGCCTGCAGTACTGCACTCTAACCACTGCACCACCATGGCTCAACAATGTTAGATAATTTATTAAAACTGAACAATGTTATATAGAAACATTTAAAATAAACTTTATTTCACTAAACAGTCAAGAGGAGGGGTTTTTTTTCACCACAATTCAAGGAAATAAAGGTCACATATTGCCTTGGAAAATCTTAAATATAATCAATTTTTTTCTTTATTAGATATTACTCCATATCTGTCTTCATTTTTAAAGAGTTATAGACAAAAATTCAAAGATCTTGTCTTACATTAGATGTCTTTGTGTCGGGGTTAGTATTAACAACTGCTTGCTGAGGAGCATGCTTATACGAACTCGTTTCCTGAATTACTATCCTTCTTTTCTTCTATCATTAATTGTTGTTCACTAGCAAAGACAAGATCAATATTTTATGCTTGCATTGTATTTTGCAATGGGAAAGATAAAAGACAGGAATTATATGGTAATGACAATGGCATGAAGAAAATGGTTCCTTTCCCAGCATCTGGCACAAAGGAGTGACATCAGAGCAGGTTTTGACCAGTTCTGGAGAACCGGTAGTGGAAATTTTGAGTAGTTCAGAGAACTGGTAGTAAAAATGCTGACTGGCCCCGCCCCATCTATTCTCTGCCTCCCAAGTCCCAGCTGATCGGGAGGAAATGGTGATTTTGCAGTAACCTTCCCCTGGAATGGGGAGAGAATGGAGATTTTACAGTTTCCTTCCCCCAGGAGTGGGGAGGGAATGGGGATTTTGCAGTAATCTTTCCCTGGAGTGGAAAGGGAATGGATATTTTACAGTATCCTTCCCCTGCCATGCCCACCAAGCCACGCCCACCAAGCAATGCCATGCCCATCAAGCCACACCCACAGAACCGGTAGTAAAGGATTTTGAAACCCACCACAGAACCAGTAGTAAAGAATTTTGAAACCCACCACTGATGGACATGACAAAATTGAAGTGTTAATGGGCAATAATATAGCATATGTTTTTTGTATGACCATATGAATTCGGTGGAATGAGTGGGCTTAAGGGAAAATATTTAATAGGAGGTTGACAGTAGCACAAAGCATGTGAACTCTACTAGTTGTTATGTGCTGCTTTCTCCAGTCCATGAAACCTCATTTAAAAAAATTAATCATAATGATGAGAAAACCAAACAGAATTATATGGAATATAAATAGATAGGGCTAATAGATAAGGGATAATAGCAAAAATTTGATGGCTTATTTTAATAGCTATTACCAAAAAAGTTCCAGACCATGATTTCAGCATAAAACCATCTCTTTATACTGTACAAGGCAGGATGGCCCATACTTTGGTGAATAGGATTTTGCCATCTTATATTTTCTTTTTTGAAGGCTTCAAAAGTCATGCCAAGTAATATAATCATATCCCCAGGTGAGTGGGGGCAATTCTGGGGAGCAAAAGATACAATAAATATCATCAACGTTTAGGAAACCTATCTCTAACTTTTAATGTTCAAACAGTTCAGAAACCTATGTTGCTGAAAACTAGTAGTTTTAAAGGTATAATTCTGGGGTGGTTTGGGAGTTCCAAAATTTCCCACTTCTGCACAAGGAATATTTTTTTAAAAAATTGTCATAGTACTTCTTGGTGAATTCAATCCTATTATTGCACATACTATCTCTTTTGATAAAATTGTTTTTAATGATAATCAGACCTACATATAAAGAATAGAAAATTATAATACTTGAATAGTTTACTTGGGAAACACCAATAGCAATTTTTAATTATTTCAGTTGGAAAGTACATAATATAATGAATAAAATGCCTATTAAATTAACCTAAAAAATAAACATTTGGCTAGAGTGAAGAGTTTGGTTGACAGATTTAAACAATGTTCAGAATCTTAATTTCTAGTTTACATTAACTTGCCTAAGACTATCAACAACAGGGAGAAGAATTTATTTTAGAAACATTGGTTTTAATGCTATTGGCTTTCCAGATGATTTTAAAATTAAGATAAAGCAATGTGGAAAATCCTAAAGAGTATGGAAGAGAAGGCAATTTGGGAAATTTTTATGGAGTCTCTTATTCTGTTTAATAGTGTTTTCACACTGAGATTCATAAAGAAAGTCTTTATGACATCTTCAGTGTTGTGTGTTCTTATTTCTAAAGACACTGAGGACACAAATGCAAATAACAATTGTTATAATTTACCTTCTAAAGAAAAATCTGCACTCAACCATTTGTTCATACACTTATGTTTTACTTATCCAGTTCAAAATGCAGCTATCCAGCCTAGGTTTGAGTTGCAGAAAAATTAAAGTAGGATACACACAATGCATGATAGCTTGTTCTGTGCTTATGGCTCTAAAACACTATAGTTCCTACAAACTTTTTTATATTTATAACAGTCCCATTTTGGAAACTTCCCCATCTACTGACACTTTTTCACTATAGGTAGTTTTCAATTTACAACCACAATTTGGACCAGAATCTGGATTGCTGAGTGAAGCAATCGTTAAGTGGGATGTCCTCATGACTGCTTTGCTCAATGATCAATATCAGCACTTCCAGATGCGGAATGGGACTTTTCGGCTCAAACTCTTGGTGCTGCCTGTTCCTCCACCAGGGGTTTACCTCTACGTTATCATGCCTCGGCACTTTGGTCCACGGCCCCTCCGTCCCAGTCCCTTCGCTGCGGCCCATTCGTCGCACTACAGTTCGCGTTGGGCTTTTGGGCGCAGAGGACAGTTCGAAGCCAGCCAATTGGTGCAGGGACTCGGGGGCTTTGGGAGTAAAGCGGGGGCTGTAGTTCAGAGGGAGGCTTTGTCAGTTCAGAGCCTCCCGAGGCGGCTGAGAGCAGCGTGGGGGAGGGATCCAGATACAAAAGATGGAGGACGGGGGCGGGGGGCTGTAGAGATTCCCAGGGCTTCTCCCTGTGGAAGAGGGGGCTGGGAGGCGGCAAAGGTATTTTGTTAGTAGTACTTGGGGATCTTCCCCCCACCCCAGCCAAGAGTCGCTCGCCGGTCAGTTCAGCGCCTCCTGAGGCTGCCGAGAGCAGCGAGGTGGGGGTGGGGGAGGGAGGCTGTAGAGGTTAGAGCAGGGGCTGCAGTTCAGAGGGAGGCTCAGAAGGAAAAGGAAGGAGAGGGGTGGAAACTCCCTTATACTTGATCCTGCCTCCCTGACACCGAATGGAAAGAGAAGAGCGGGAGGGGGGAGGGAAAGAAAAAGAGAATGAAAAGAAAGAGATTAGACTGATAAGGCTAATGAGGAGTTCTCTATCCATTTTGCAGGAAGACACAAATCTAATTAGGAAGCCGGGATGATATTTTTTGACGTTTCTGACTGTATAAAAAGGAGTTACACCTTCTTTCCGGTGTAGCCTCCGTTTAAGTTTCTTGTTTGGCATTTATGAGCTTAAACGTATTATTATTGGACCTTACAGATGGAAATGAAGAGGAGTGAGGAGCAACACTAATTCCAATCACTTATCCTTTTCTCTTTCTCTGCTCATGTTCCTTTCCCCAAACATCCCTGGGAGGGCTAGAGCCCCAGGTCAGGGTGGACAGTCTTTCCCTGGAATTCAACGGGGAGCTGGAAAGGAACATGAGCAGAGAAAGAGAAAAGGATAAGCAATTGGAATTAGGGTTTTCCTCACTCCTCTTCATTTCCATCTGTAAGGTCCAATAATAATATGTTTAAGCTCATAAATGGCAAACAAGAAACTTAAACGGAGACTACACTACAGAGAAAGTGTAACTCCTTTTTATACAGTCAGAAACGTCATAAAATAACATCCTGGCTTCCTAATTAGATTTGTGTATTCCTGCAAAAAGGATAGAACACTCCTCATTAGCCTTATCAGTCTAATCTCTTTCCTTTGGCCATTTCGTCCCCTGGTGTGACGGGAACAGTTCAAAACTGAGATACATTCTCAGGTGGGGAGGCTCTGGTCAAAGGTGAGACATATGTTTTGACAAATGCCAGGTACTTCACTCCCAGAAACCTGGGAGAAGCAGAGAGGAAACGAAGAGGTGGGGATGGGGGTTAGAAGAGACCAGGGCTCTTGGGACAGGTGGGTCTTCAGAAACCAGGAGAAGGAAAAGCAAAAGATCTTCAGAAACCAGAAGGAAAAGCAAAAGATCAGGCCAGCCATTCCCGCCAGCTGGTTGCAAAATCCCCAGCTGATGGATCCCTCATCTTCTACAGCCCTTCTCCCCCCCCGCGCTGCTCTTGGCTGTGTCGGGAGGCTCCGAACTGACAGGTCAGGGGCTCCTGGCCGGGGCGGCGTGGGGATGGGAGTTTCAGAGCACTACTAAGCACTACTAACTAGGGCAACCCCGGTCGGGGTAGAAATACCTTTGCCGCCTCCCAGCCCGCTCTTACACAGGGAGAAGCCCTGAGAACCTCTACAGCCCCCCCCCCCCCTTTTTTTTTTGGCTGGATCCCTCCCCAGCACTCCTCTCGGCTGCCTCGGGAGGCTCCGAACTGATAGAGCTTCCCTCTGAAGTGCAGTCCCCGCTCTACTCCCAAAGCCCCCGGGTCCCTGCACCAATTGGCTGGCTTCAAACTGTCCTTTGCGCCCAAAAGCCCAACGTGAACTGTACTGCGACATATGGGCCGCGGCGAAGGGATTGGGATGGGGGGGGGCCATGGCCCAAAGTGCCAAGGCGTAATAACACGGAGGCGAAACCCTGGTGGAGAAACAGGCAGCAGCAAGAGTTCGAGCCGAAAAGTCCCAGACCCCTTCCAGATGAGGGTGTTAAGCAATCTCTCAGTTTGTTAAGTGGATGGAATGCAAGTGCTTCCTGCTAAGTTCAAATTGCCTCTGTGTACAGAAGAGAATTGCTATGGTGAACTATAAGAACAGAAGTGAGATATTCATGATCTGAGCTACATTTCTCCACCCCACTGGAGGAATTCATCTCCCTTATGTGCATGAAAGAGAACTGCTCTTGCAGGCTGCAGAAATATAGGTCAGATCCCAAAGGAAGGAAAAGATCTAAGCTCTGTTTCTACAGCCCTTCAAAAGAGTTCCCCTCATATTGATATTCATGGTCAAGGCTTGACCTGTGGAGACAAAAGTACCCTGTTTCCCCCAAAATAAGATTTCCCTTGATAATAAGCCCAATCAGGCTTTTGAACACATGGCAATAAGGCCAAACACTTATTTCAGGGTTCAAAAAAATATAAGACAGGGTCTTATTTTCAGGGAAACACGGTGTAGGCATCAACATTACTTGGGTCTATAAAATTCCCATCTTATACAGGTTAAAAGAATTCCATGAGATGGATTCTTTCTGTATTTAGAGGTTTTTTCAAGAAAAAAAATGATTGTTCTCTATGTTTACATCTACTGTATGGTCAAGAATCTCATTTCACAAATGGATGCATCTTGTATTGAGATGTTAT